TCCGTTTGTTTGTTAGTACACCTAACTCTTAGCCATGCATAGTAGCTTATACCTGTAATTCCAGTATCCTGGAAGTAGAGTTGGGGAATGGTGGTAGAAACCTTGTCATTGATATTTCTTTTTTTTTTTTAAGTTTATATTTTGTTTATTTCTGCTCTGACTCATACTATTTTTTTCCTTGTATTAATTTTGGGTTTCACTTTTCTTGTTTTTCTAGTTTTGTGAGTTGCATTGTTCAGCTGTTTATCTGAGCTCTTTCTCCTTTTTGTGTTGTAGGTGTTTATTGGTATGACCTTTCTTGTTAGAACTTAATTTGTGGAACTCCATAAGTTTTGGTACATTGTGCTGAGATATTCATTTGTTTCAAGAAACTTTTAAAATTTCCTTTTAATCTTGTCAATTATCCATTGGTTGTTTAGGAGTATATTGTTTTAATTTCTACATTTTCACAAGTTTACAGAGTACCTCTTATTGATTTCTAGTTTCATTATTGTCATAAAAGGTAGTACTTGATATGATTTGAGTTTTTAAATTGTTAAGAGTTATTTTGTGACCTAATACATGACTTATCTTGGAGAAATGTGTGCAATTGAAAACAATGTGTATTCTGTAGCTGTTTGGCAAAATATCTTTAAATACCTTGGCAGGGCCAGTAGATCTATAGTGGAGTTTAAATCTGATATTTCTTTGTTGATTTTCTGTCTAGACACTCTGTCATTGATGAAATTGAAACTGAATTTCTTATTACTATTATAGTGCAGTCTGTTTTTTCTTTATGTTATTAATATTTGTTTTATATATTTATAAAATATATAAAATGCAGCTAGGAGCTGATATTGAGTACATACATATTTATATTACTGTATCTTCTTACTGCTTTGACCCCTTATCACTAGACAAAAACTCTCTTTTTCTCTTTTTATAGTTTTTAACTTGAAGTCTATTTTATCTGCTAGAACTATGTCTACTCTTTTTCCTTTTTAGTTCCATTTGCATAGAGGATCCTTCTTCATCCACTTATTTGTAGTATATGCCTGTCTTTACTGGTGAAGTATGCCTTTTGTAGGGAGCAGTTAGTTGAAGCATTATGCCATTGGCCTTTTTGTTTCTTTTTGAGATACGATTTCACTATGCAGTTCAGGCTGGGCTTGAACTCACTTTGTATCCCAGGTTGGCCTTGAGTTCACAGTGATTCTCCTGCCTCAGCCTCTTGAGTGCCAGCCTACCAGCCTGTTCATTGGAGATTTTAATCCATTTATATTCAAGCTAATTATTCAAAGGAAGGAATTTAATACTGCCATCTTTATTGCTTCATTTGTACATTTTTGTAGGCCCTTGTATGTTTCTTCCACTTTTACTGTCTTATATATTATAGGTTTTCTTGTGGTTATTTTGGGGCTTACTAAGCATACCTCATAACTGGTAAAGTCTTTAGGCCATCAAAGCTTGCTCTCAGGTTCTCTAGGAAGTTAGGCTCCTTGCCTTTGTTTTCTATTGAGGTGTGGCAGCTGATTTTGTTCCTCTATCTGGCAAGATCATTGGCTGTGCTCCGTGGTTGGGGTTAGACTGAGCTCCTAGGTAAGCACTGCAATTGCAACTAATCCACTTGGGCCACAAGGTGTGCTTCTTAGCCTGGTGGTGGCCTTGTTCCTCCCTGGGTGGTTTCTGCAGGTGGTCCTTGAGGCCAGGAGGAATGCTGCCTAAACTCTCAGGTATAGCAGAGCCAGTGTCTGTTAGTGGTTGCAATTCACAGTTTTGCTAGTATCCTTCCCTGGACAGGGTCTAGAGGTGTCTTCACAGAAGGCCCAGGTGTGGCAAAACTGGGCCTGGTTATTACGTGCAGCATTGGTTTAATCCCACTCTGGGAAGTCTAGAGGTGTCCTAAGGGTGGCATGCTAGGTTTCAGAACTTGCTGTTGAGGTGTTCTCCTTCCTTGGGCAGTTTTGCTTTACAGAGGAAGAATGTACCTGGAAGGTTGACATTTAGGGACTCAAGCCAAGTAGCATTCCCACCTCTTCTGGGAAGTGCTTCTGAAGCAAGGAGATAGGGAAAGTTAGGCAGATAGGGCACAGGTCCTGAACAGTTCATCTTTTTAGGAAAACTAAAAGTTGGGGCTGCAAGTTAACATACCAGAGGTCCAGAATAATTAACTGTAGCAAACTGACTGGACATAAAAAGCAAATGGACTTAACCATCTACTGTTTAACTGCTTTATGGAAACCCCTCCCTGACAAGCAGAGACCTCTTTTAGTCTTTCTAATAAACACGTTTGACCATTCGCTGCCACTTGCTGCTTGCTGTTTTGTAGGTTTGGATCCTTATTGCCCCCAAACAAGAACCCAGGAGCTAGAGGCAGCTGGTTACACTTCTTTCAGATCAGCTTTGCCAACTGGCTACGTTTCAGCTAGTAGCCGATCAAAGGTCACTCCTGACAGGTGTGCTATGTTTTCAATACACATTATATACTGGTCTCTGTGGTCTCTATCTCCTTCTTTGTTTTTGTCTGGCCCTGGGTGGTCTAGCTGTTCAGTTTTCTCCTAATTCCCCACCAGTCATGAACAGAACAGGCTCCGCATTTCAGAATGCTAAGGAAGCCAGGTAGTTGCTTTCAGTGTTCTCTTTTTCCTCTGTAGAAGCAGTGGTCGTGGAGGTCCTTGAGATTTCTATGTGACATTCAGTCCCTTTGGGAGAAGAAGAGAGGGTGATGTACTCCAAAGCAAGGCTGTTTTTCTCTTACCCAACCAATACAAATTTTTGTTCAATTTTGTGGAGCACACAAGTCTTATTCCCAAGTTTTGGGGGTTTAACCAAAGTGCTGTTTTTGGTGGGTAAGTGCAAGCTGCTCTGTCTGTATTGGGGAGGGGGTGGGGGAAGGCTCGGATCATCTGTTCAGCCATCCTGGTGATGTTACTTCACTCATTTCGGAATTTTTATACCCTGCTGTTAATTGTTAATGAAGGTTTGAAACACCGAACTAATCTAACATAAACTTAACTTCAATTGTAATAATACAATTATTAATATAATATACTCAAAAATTATTAAAATCCATGTGTTTAAACACATAGGAAATATATTTTTTAAAGGAGCAACATTTTCAGAAAAATTTTCCAACACTGCAAAGTATTCCTCCCAAGATATCATAGGCCAAACCTAAGCATTGCAAAGTTCCTTGGAGAACAATGAAGGCAAATTTCGATTCATTTTGCAAGAATCCCCACAATAGCACTTACAACGAACAGTTTTCTAAAGCCTCCTTAAAAACTTTCAGTGACTAGAAATACGGGCTTGCTATCAGTGGCTCTGCCATTTCCATTGCCGGTAAGCCCTGATTACGGACAAAATTCTTGCTGTTGATAGAAATCTGTATTCTGACGTTTTCAACCTATAGTCTTGAAATTTCCATATTCTTAAATTTTCAACCCACTGGTTATAGTTCTAGCATCCATAAACCAGTCAAATTTTAATTTCCCTGTTACCTAGCTATAATTAAGAACAGCACATAATTTTGTGATTTGCAGGAAGTCCGAGAGGATGAGGAAGTTATACCAGAGCAATGGAACACATTTAGTTCACAGCAATATTTTGAGAGATATAATAATTCAAGACTATAAAAAAGTTTGTATGTACAAGCATTTTTTGTGTGTACATATGTATGTCTATATAGATGCTTGTGTAAAATGTGTATATGGTTTAATATACATATATATGTATGTATGTGCTTATATACATTTATGTTGCAAAGTCAGTAACAGAAAAATCTTCCAACTATGTTGAACAAGAAATGCAAATATGGAGTTTTAGGATACTATTTTTAAGGAAAATATAAAATACACATGATTAACCAATATAGGAGTTGTTACCACACTAGACAATAAGAAGGGAATTCAACAAGTTTATGTTTGTGTTATGGTAAAAATACAATTATTTCAAAATACATAAAGCATTATGTTAATCTTACAATCTACACCCTTACTACTCAGTGATGAAAAAGTTCCCAAACAGTCAGTCAAAATCAGCCAATCAATCACTAGATCCCCTTCTGCAATTTTGGACAAGGTTCGTGGTATGCGCTGCACGTTGCTGAGTCTCATTCAGGGTTCACCCTGTCAGCGCCTGTTCACACTCTGCCTGTCTTCAGGCTGCAGGAAACTGAAAAAGAGCAACTCCTCACAAGCGGTCTTGAGGTGAACACGGTCCACTGGCAGGCCACATATTTCAAACAAAAGCTAAACTATATTAATTAAATTTCAGGGCACAAAGAAGAAAAAATACAAAAAAAATATTTTCACAAATAGAAAAAAAAGATGTGTGGTTGTTTGGGCAAACTTTATCAGGGTATTAAGTTAACAGACTACAACCTAACAAAAATGTTAATAAACTACATTTACCAAAAGGATAAAACTATACTCAGATCTAATAAAGTAAAATGGTAAACCTATACAAAGTTTAGATTATTATAGAATTAGAAATACTTAGGTAACATAATAATTTTCTTTTTTTAGGTAACATATAAAGCAATTTCAAATTCTGTAGCCTAGTAAATTACAGAACTTATTCATTTGGAGCCATGGGCCAAATCTGGCATGCCATCTGTTTATGTATTTTTTTTTTAAGTTTAGCTGGAACGTGGTCATGCTTATTTGTTTGACTACAGCAGTTTTTATACCATGCCATTGAGTTGAGTAGTTACAAGAAAGATCATTAGGACCCACAAAGCCTAAAACAGTTACTACAGATTAAGTATCCTTGACGGACGTCCGACCTTTATTGTTCCTTTGCCAAAAAAGTTTGCAGGCCTCTGCCATTCAGGATAACTGATTTTAAACAAGTAGGCCATATTGCTAAATTACTACAGCCTCTGGGGCAGAAAGAATGTTACTTGCTTCTGTGATGCAGGTCCTCTGTTATAAATTAACAAACAAACATTACAAAAAATGGCCCCAGTATTATAAAGGGTGTTTTACAGTTTGAATAAATGAAACAATTTTACTTCCTACTTGTTTTGTAGGTTTTTCCTCCTTTCCATCTGAAGTATTATTGACAGCAGGGACATTTCTGCATTGTTGGAAATCTTCCAACTTTTCTTGATGGGACTGGTTATTCTCCTCTTTCTTGTTTTCATCATCGCTTTCTGGGTTATTTTTCCATTCTTTCATCATTTCTAGTACATTTGTTGGTCTCACTGAAGAAAGTGTATTGCCCTATGTTAACAATAAATTTCAATGTTATAAATAGCTTAGGTAATTGAAAAGATTGTTATTTTTCTAGTAATACATTTTTGCAAATTCAGTGATAGTCTTATGGAAAAATTATAGTGCTGAATAAATACAAAACTGATGCCCACTGGAACATGCTCCCTGTCCTGCCATGGATCACACCACTTGCACAACATCATTTACAACATGTTAAAGTTCAGAGGGGAAATATTCTGTCTTGAAAAAACTATACAGCACACTTTCATAAAGGACCCTGCATTCAGCAATATCCTGGAAGCCAAAAATCTCTTAGAGCATAGTTCTTAGAAACTGACAGGGAGGCTGAAAAAAATAGAAGAAGTTGCCCAAAGACTATTGGATCTAATGTTAAGAGTAAGTCTTTACAATGCCAAAATGTCTAGGTAGAAAATTTTAAGTTAACTACTATGTCTATAAATGTCAGTACTTGATTTCAAAGCCCTTGGCTGGAATATTTAGATATAATGCGGTCATCTGATCATAATTAAGCCAGTATACTGTTCTTATCCCAGAGATGACTATACGTAACCAAATTTAACCATATATTAATCTTATTTTTCCAAATGTACCATCCTATTTAATGTGCCAAGAAATACCCGAATATGAATACAGGCCCAAATAGTTCCTGTGTGACTATGTTTTAAAAATTTTTGTTCCAATCTCAGCCTATTAGAAAAAATTTAGGAAGAAGTTTTGACCATATTTAGATTAAAATGAAAAGTTCAAGTGCAGGCACAGAAATGGAGCAATTCTAAATTAATCTTATATGTAGACAGATTGGTGGCAAGCATAAACATTGCAGAAATCCTTGAGACAAGTTCTGAGGGTGTAGCATCCTAATAAACCTTTGAGGGTTTATCGAGCTAAATATATTGGTAGTTAAAGGCAGAGACACAGGAAGTATGAAATGGTAATAATAAATGAGAATCATGATGTGACTAATTCCTTTTGGTTCTTCTATTTTACCCTATTTTAGGAAGGCAAATACCCTTGACACTTTCAGAGCACGCGAGTCCACCTTAAACAGACTGCACTCAGTCAGCCTCTACCCTCCTGAAGAATGCCTTTGCCATTCCTTCTGCCAAGATGCAGTCTACATTCCCTCCAAGGTTCAATTTCAGAATCATCTCTGTCACAAACCTCAGATCTCCCAAAGATACAATCAACTTAAGCTCAAGTAAAGCACAGATGGAGATTCAGAAACAGCAACCAGGAGAGGGTTGACATCATCTAGAATGGCAGACGATCTCAGAGCTCTCATCTGAATAAGCATGGCTTGACCCATCTATCTTCCACTACATCTTATTAGCGTCGTCACCTCAATCTCTGACTCTAACATTACAAACTCATAGTATCCAGGCTTCTGGAATGTAACACACACAACTCTGCCTCAGTTTGATTCTTGCACTAGCATAGACGATCTGACATATCTGTGTCTGCAATCCCAGTCCTCAGTGGCCTTGCTTGCCCAAAAAGCTTTTCCCAGGTTAACTGTTGGGTACTATAATAGTAACTAATGCTACTCATCAAAGTTTCTTCCTTCTAGGCAAATAGTAGAATTTAATTTTTCTATACTTTGGGACATGAACATGTGACTTATTTTAACCATTGAAATATGACTAGAAATGCTATGTATCACTTCTAAGTGAAAACTTCAAGAGACAATGTGCAATTCATCACATTCCCAATTCTTACTTTGGTAGTTACAAAAACAAAGAGATGGATCTTCCTTTAGCCTGAGTTCCTGAATAAAGATAAAGTAAAACACAGCCCCATTCTTCCTCACAGTCAATTTATAACTCTGAGATTTGGGGGTCATTGGTTACCACAATACTGTCTAATTTATCCTGACATACAAACTGAAGTAAATGCTTATGTTCTGTAAGGTACCTCTAAGAAGCCTTAATAATGAGTTAAATATGCAACTGTCATGCCCAACAAAATTATTACTACAGAATTCACATGCAGTCAGTTCAATAAAAAAGCCCATTTATTTAGATAGTCCTTGCTTTGCAAAGTCTTGATGTACATGAATTTCAGTTATCATGATTTAGTTAAATATCACAAATGGCTCCATAGCAGAGCTTAAATTTCAGACACCATGGTATATTAACTGTCACTACATAAAGTTCAAACATCATTGCCAGTGCTGGGTCAAACAGATATGTATGAGTGTGACCAACTGAGTTAATTCTAAATTTGTTGGTCATTGGACACTGAGCATCTGTTGTTCATTTCGCACAGAGATAATTAACTAGGTAGGTTTGCAGTTGCGCTGCCTCCTTGACTCCCAGGAACTGACTGACAAAGACAAAAGGGCAGCAAAGAAATAAAAAAATGATAATGCTAGAAGTGAGATGAGAATCAAAGGTTACTACAATACCAGAAGAAATAGGTGGTTGTGGGAATGTTAACGATGCTGCTATTAAAGAGTCCAGATATATAGCCAAGGGGGGTTAACAGAGGAAAATTTGTCAACATAGGTGAAGAAAGCAGTTGTTGTAGAAACGATGAAGGTGCTCCAGAGGAAGTGGTGCCTGCAAACACACCCTTTTGTGTAGAGAGAACTTTCACAAATACTTCATGACAGTGAAAGTAAAGATTCTGGAACCTGACCCAAGCTTATCAAGCACTGTGAAAATCTGCCAAGGCATAAAATAGATACTTCCTCTACATGGAAAGTTATATGACAGGAATAAAGTAAGCACCATTAACACTAACTTTGATATGTTTTTTACCAAAAAAGTAAATTTAATTGATTGTGTCTCTGATATTCTAGATTATGGTGTACTACTTACTTTTGTTTTATTTTCCTATATATTTACAAACAATAGTTTTTAACATAGATTTTTTTCCCAACTGATTATTAAGATAATTTTGACCGTTTTCACCTGCATTATCATTTTTACCATCCTGAAATGCCATGAAAAGCAAGGGATGTCATCTGGAATCTGCATCTCTAGTTATCTTTCAAATGCCTCAATCATATATACAAACACAGTGCCTCAGAGTTAGGTGCTTAACACTCTAAGTGGTTAAACTATACTGCCTTGGTACTCAGAGAAATCGCCCTATTTCTCATTTCAAAGACATTGCAAAAAAGAGCAAAAAATATACAATAGGGGTATGATCACCACAAAAACACTACTATTTAGAAATTTTAACTCTTAGCCTTCTTTATTCACTTGTGATATCAAGTCTGGATCTGGACTCTGTGGTTTTGAGTTCCTGCTCTCCTTGTTGCCTAAAATCTTGTAACACAGCACCAACTTCTTGTTTGCTAGAGGCGGGAAGAGAAATTGCACCATGTACTTAGTAGACAACTAATAAGTGGGAAAATGGCAAAAATAAGTGGACAATATCCATGTGTCATGAGTTTTCCAATTCGATAGAAATTATAAATTAACCAACAAAACAAAAACAGGGTGAAATTGAGAAGTCACTGGAGTTATACAGCTATTAAACATTAAAACACTATCCTTTGATCTCCCTTTGTTGGCTGCAGTAATAGCCATAATAAAAATAGTAATAATCTGAGGCTGTCACCAGTGGACTCAGACTTTTAATTAATACATTTGAATTTATTTTCTCAACATATCATTGAGATAATTTTATTTTGAAAAATTAGAAAAACTACCCAGGGAGAAACACTGGTCTAACACTAAGATTTGGATTTAATCTCTTAGTAGACAGGCTCCACAAATGCAGACCCAATCATATTTCTTTTAGCAAAAACCTACCAGTGTTTTATAAAAAACATATATAATAAAGACTTTTAATGAATGAATGGATTAATGAAACAGTGATATGTATGAGCTGGATTGAGAAGATATGAAACAAAATAAGCAGTTAAAGGGAACATTACGGATCTTTTTTAGCTTACAGTCATTTTCTATTTTTGTAAACAGCTAGAATATTTCACTTGTAATATTACCAGGAGCAAATTTTTCAATAAAAAGAGAACACCTTGTGAAAACATATAAAAGGATATTCAACTTCACAAAATAAAATCCAAACAATGAGGTGCCAATTTTCACATAACAGGTGGACATAAATTTAAGTTTGATAATACCATGTGTTCAAAACAGTGTGGGGAAACAAGCAGTTTATTTACTAGCTGCTTATGAGAGAACAGATTAGGAATAAGTTATCAAAATGCAAAATGCATGTTCTCTCTAACCAGTAATTCCATTCTTCAGAATTTACCCTATATATAATGCTGACATGGTATGCAAAGGTATATTTTTAAGAACTTTAATTTAATTTATAGAAAAAGCCTTAAACAATTTAAATGTTCCATATTCAAAGAGTACTATTCACAAAATAATGGTGCATTTGTAGTTTGGAATACAATGTTGCTGTTTAAAAAATAAGACAATCTTCCCTGTATTTTAAGTGAAAAAGAATAGCTTACATAATGTGAATCTATTTGTGCAATATGTATACATAAAACTGTACAGAATGTGTTTGAAAAGATATATGATATTTAATAATTATCTTTAATGAAAGTAAATGCACAAAAATAATTTTCCTATTTTTTTTACCATTTAAATCATCTACCATGCATAATGTCAACTATTACCTCTATCAGGTTAATAATACAAGTTATGGTAAGTAACAGGTATAATGTAAGCTCCAGACAAAAGACTGAAAGTACTCAGTGAAATCACCAAACATGTCCCTGTTAGCTTCAATGAGCCCAAAGCAACAACATATCATAGTAGCAGCAACCACAAAGGCTAGCAACTCTACTGGAGCCATTTTTAATTTTTCCTAAGAAAGTCATCCAGTAATTTTTTCCCCCACAAGTACAGTAACAGTGTGAGTAGATAAGCCTGGTGTTGATATGCCTATTCACTGAGGGGAAAGAGCCTAAGAAATTAAATTACCTTATTCCACAAGTACATTGCCAACTGCCTGCCAAAAATTTCTAGTTGGAGATGTAGCTGAGCCTTCAAATTCAATAA